CAGCGCTGATGTCCCTGTCCCCGCAGAGACCCCCGTTCTGCCCCGCCAAGCTGGGGGGCGCCACGCGGGGCGGGCGCGGGGCACACGCGGGGGTGGCCGCAGCAGTGGCCGTGCTGCTGGAGGCCGCCTGCGGCCGCGTCCTGCTGACCCGCCGGGCCAGCACCCTGCGCCACTTCCCCAACCTTTGGGTGCCACCAGGTGAGTGCGAGGACGGGGGACAGGAGAGCTCTGGGGTCCCCGAGCCTTCATTCAGGTGGGGACAGGGGTTTTGGGGTCCTCTGACTCCTGTCCCCCCACACAGGTGGGCACTTGGAGCCGGGAGAAGAGGTGAGGTGACACCGTGGGGAGGGCAGGGGGTGCCCAGGTGGGTGCGGGGACGCAGGTGGCCCCTGACACCCCGAACCCCCAGCTGGTGGCCGCGGGGCTGCGGGAACTGGCCGAGGAGACGGGGCTGTGCCTGGAGCCCGGGACCTTCTCGTGGAACCTGCTCGGCCTCTGGGAGGTAACGACCCCCCCCTGCACCCGGGGGTGACACCCCCAGTGTCCGCCCTGCCCCACGGGCCACCCCTGCTCCCCACAGTCCCTGTTCCCCCCCTCGCTGAGCTGGGGGCCACCGCGCTGCCACCACATCGTCACCTACCTGGGGCTGCGCTCGGCCGAGCCCCAGCAGCGGCTGCAGGTGGGGGCACCTCCGTGAGTGGGGGGCGCCTCCGTGGGTGGGGGCGCCTCCGTGGGTGGGGGCACCTCCGTGGGTGGGGGGCAGATCCAAGAGAGTCCCTTCATGGGTGGGGGGCACCTCCATGGGTGGGGGGCACCTCCGTGGGTGGGGGACCTCCGTGGGTGGGGGGCAGCTCCATGGATGGGGGGCACCTCTGTGGGTGGGGGGCAGCTCCGAGGGGATCCCTCCATGGGTGGGGGTCTCTCTTGGTGTTGCAGTCCCTCTCTGGATGTGGGTGTCTCGGAGGGTGGGGGTCCCTCCATGGCTGGGGTGTCCCTCCTGGGGTTGGGGTCCCTCTCAGGATCGGGGGCCCTGCACGGCTGGAGGTCCCTACCAAGGTTGGGGTTCCCCCCACGGGGGTCTCTCCCTCCACGGGGGTCTGTGCCCAGGCCCGGCTGTGTCCGAGCCCGTGTGAGGTCAGTGCCGTGGCCTGGCTGGAGCCTCCGGTCCTGGAGGCCATCGCTGCCACCGAGGATGGAGCCGAGGGATCGGGATCGGGATCGGGATCGGGACCGGGACCATTCCCCGGAGAGCTGCCGGCCACCGTGGGGTGAGACACCGCTGACACCGGGGGACAGCGACGGGAGGCTGGAAAAGCCCTGGGGCTGTCCAGCCTCCCCCGGGCCCCATCCCTGACCCCATTCCCTGCCCCAGGATCACGGAGCTGAGCCCCCACGGCTTCCGGAGCTCCCAGATTCCCACCGGGATCCTCCTGCGCCGGGCCCCGGCCCGCGGCCCCGACCTGGAGCGCGTCAGCACCGGCACCAAATTCGCGCTGGGGCGGTGGCGGGCGGGGCCCGGCCGGGGGCAGCGGGAATAAACTTCCAGCGGCATCCCGGATCCCGGCCCGTGCTGGGGCGGGGCCGTGGAGACGCCAGGAATGGGTTTCCCTGGTTTCAGGTGGATTCCAGGGGAACGGAGCAGGGATGGGGACACGAGTGGGACACGGAGCGGGACCCAGGCCACGCGTGTGTCGCGGTTTCCCACTTTAATGCCGCGGCCCCCCTCCCGCCTCGGCCCGCAGGATCCGCAGCAGCGCGGCGTGGACGCCCTCGTCCATGAATCCCTGCGGAGGAGGGAGTGTGGCTTTTCCCGAGATCCGGCACCCAAAACTGTGCCCGCACCCCCCAGAGACCCCGGGCAGGGCCAGGGGGTCCCACCTGGGCAGCCTGGAGAAGGTGGCTCCGGTACACGGCCACGGTGTCCCGGTGCTGCTTCTGCTGGACCTGGGGGGGGGCACAGGGTGACACTGGGTGGCTCCGAGTGACAACAATCACAAAGGGTGACACGGTGTGACACCGGGCGCTGTCCCCACCTCCAGCTGGAGCTGGAGCCGGGCGCTCCGGCCCCGCAGCCCCAGCACCTCGGCCGAGAGCTTCTCCGTCTCCGCCAGCAGCTGCTTCAGCTGGGGGGGAAAGTCAGGGGCAGATTTGGGGGACTGGGGGGGTTGGTTGCTCTCAGCACCCCCAGAACCCCCTTGGTCCCTGTCAGTCCTCAAGGTCCCGCTCAGTTGCCCCTGAGGTCCCCCCAGGTGGGGCTGGGAGATGGATCAGGATGGGGACAGGGATGGGAAGGGGATGGGGATGCAGATGATGATGGCAACAGCGGCGGGAAAGGGATGATGATGATGATGGAAAGAGGACTGGAAAGGGTGTGGGGATGGGAGGGACATGGGGATGGATATGGGAGGAAGAGGAAGGTGGGAAGGGGTCGGCAATGGGGACGCGGATGGAAGGAGGATGATAACGGGAACGGGACTGGTGCTGGGAAGGTCCCGTCCCCGTTCCCGGCCCGTGCCTCACCTTCCCGTCCTTGTCCCGGCAGGCGCGCTCCAGCCGGGCCGCGCGTTCCCGCAGCGCTGCCCGGCTGCGCTCCAGCCCCTCCGCTGTGTCCCGCAGCTCCCGCAGCTCCCGCTCCCGCCCGGCCGCCCGCTCCTCGGCCGCCGCCGCCGCCTCCCGCCACCGCTCCGCCTCCGAGCCCGGTGGGACCCCGGCGGTGCCGCGCTCCGGGCCCAGCGGCACGCCGGCGGCCGCCGCCGCTCCCGGTTCTGCCGGTACCCCGGCCTCCCCGCCGCTCCCGGGCGTTTCTCCGGCCTCTCCCTCCATCTCCGTGAGGAGCTGCAGGGCCTCGTGCTGGGACCGCACCAGCGCGTCCAGCCGCCGGTGCAGGTCCCGCAGAATTCCGGCCCCGGCGTCGCCTCCCGCCTCCCGCACCCGCGCTCCCACCCCGTCCCGCAGCGCCCGCAGCTCCCGCCGCAGCCGCCACGCCTCGTCCCGCTTCCCGGGATCCCGCAGCTCCCGCAGCTCCTGCTGCAGCCGCTCCCGCTCCCGGCCCAGCCGCGCCAGCTCCACCAGGAGCTTCCCGTTGCCCTCCCGCAGCTCCAGCAGCTCCTTCTCCATCCTCCCGCCCTCCCTCGGCATCTCCTCCCGGCTCTTCTCCGCGCCGTTCACCGCCGGCTCCGACCCGAGCTTTTCCAGGAGGATTTGGGATCCCTGCAGCATCCTGGCGTGGATCTGGTCCTGCTGGTCCAGCGCCTGCTCCAGCCCCGCCGCCAGCTGCTCCCAGGCCCCGTCCCGGAGGGAATCCTCTGCTTCCCGACGCAGCTCCTGGCTCCGCGAGGAGACGCCGGCCTTCGCTTCCCGCATTTTGGAGCACTCCTCTCCCAGCCAGGCCAGGAACGGGATCAGCGCCGGAGCCTCGGCGCTGCCTTGTCCTCCTTCCCACTCTTCATCCCTCGTCCTCTTCCTCAGCTCCGCCACGCGCCGGGCCAGGAGCTCCAGGCAGGCGCCGTCATCCTCCTCATCCTCCTCACCCTCCTCATCCTCCTCATCCTCAGCCGCGTCCCGTCCCGGCAGGAGCCGCACGAGCTCCCGCAGCCGCCGGCGGATGCCCTCGGCAGCTTCCTCCAGCCGCCGGCATTCCAGAGTCTTCCTCGCCAGCTCCTCCCGCAGCCGCCGGGCAGCGCGTCCGTCCCGCTGCTCCTCAGCCTCCTCCTCCTCCTCCTCCTCACCCTGGATTCCCACCTGTCCAGCACCATTCTCTGCTGGAGGGAGAAACACAATCCGTTTTCCCAATTTTCCCTATTTTTTCCAATTTTCCCCGTTGTTTTCCCATTTTCCCCCATTCTTTCCTTTTTTTGGGGGAGGTCTCACCTCTCCTCCCACAGTGCGGGACCTTCTGGAGAGCCCAACCTGGAGCCTTCCCGGTGACATTCCGGGTGACATTCCCGGTGTCCTTCTTGTCCCTCTGGTGGCCCTGCAGCAGCTCGGCCACTTCCAGGCTGCTGTGAGCCAGGGCCAGCTCCAGCGCTGTCCTGAGCCGGGGATGTGACACGGAGGGACACGGGGACACAGTGAACAGTGGCAGGGGTGGCACTCGGGCACCGTGGCACTCGTGACACAGGTGACCGCCATCCCTTCCCCACAGCGGTGACACCCTTGGGGACACCACAGACCGGTGACAGGACAGCTCAGTGTCCCCAGTGTCCCTTGGCACCCACCTGCCGTCCCTGTCGGCCAGCCCGGGCTCGGCCCCGCGCCGCAGGAGCTGGGCACAAACGGCCACATGGTTGCCCAGCGCCGCCAGCATCAGGGGGGTCTGGCCGTGCTGAGGGGACACGTGGGGTGACCATCAACCCTTGCTGTCCCCTGTCACCCCCTGCTGTCCCCCCGTCCCCACTCACGGTGTCGGGGACATCCAGTGGGGCCTCGTGGTCGCAGAGCAGGAGGACGCTGGAGGCGCAGCCCGAGGAGGCTGCAGGGGGCAGGGGGGTCACTGCAGGGTCTCTGGTGTCCCCCTGGTGTCCCCCACGTCCCGGGGTGTCCCCATGTCCCCCCCTCACCGGCCCAGTGCAGCGGAGTCCGGTTCTGGCCGTCCACGTGGCGCTCGTTGGCTCCATGCTGGGGGGACAGCGGGAAGGGAGCGGGAATGGCACTGACACCCCCATCCCAGCCCCGTTCCCATCCTCATCCTCATCCTTGTTCCCTGCCCTTGTCCCCATCCTCACCTCCATCCTCATCCTCCTCTGCACCTCCAGCCGTGTCCTTATCCCTGTGTTTTTCCTGATCTCCATCCCTGTTTTCACCCCTAGCTCCATCCCATTCCTGTTCCCATTCCCATCCCATTCCTGTTCCCATTCCCATCCCATTCCTGTTCACATTCCGATCCCATTCCTGTTCACATTCCCATCCCATTGCAGTTCCCATTCCAACTCCAGTTCCCATTCCAGTTCCCATTCCCATCCCATTCCAGTTCCCATTCCATTTCTGTTCCCATTCCCGTCCCACTCCAGTTCCCATTCCCATCCCAGTGCAGTTCCCATTTTCATTCAATTCCAGTGCCCATTCCCATCCCACTCCTATCCCGTTCCAATTCCAGTTCCCATCCCATTTCAATTCCTGTTTCCATCCCATTCCCATCCTGTTCCCACCCCGTTCCCATCTTATTCCCACCCGTTCCCGCCCCTCTCGGTACCTGCAGCAGCACCTTCACGCACTGGGGCTGGCAGGCGATGGTGGCCAAGTGCAGGGCGGTGCTGCCTGTGGGGACGGGACCGGCGCTGGGGACACTCCCGGGGGACAACTGCCCCCCTAAGGGACACCCCCAGGGGACACCCCCTCCTTGGGTGCTCCCGGGGGTCCCTGCCATGGGGAGCAGGTCGGGGCTCCTCCAGGGGTGACACAGGGTGTCTCCAGGGTGTCCCCAAGCTGTCCCCGGGTGTCCCCACCCACCGTCATCGTTCGTCTCGTTGACGGGGGCTCCGTGCTCCAGCAGCAGCGTCAGGCACTCGGTGAGACCCCCGGCCGCGGCCAGGTGGAGCCTGGGGGGCGAGAGGCGGCCGTGACCCGTGCGGCCACCCCCGTGCCCACCGAGCCCCCGCCGCGTCCCCCCGGTGACATACGCGGACTGGCCCCTGGCGTTGAGCTTGGCGGGGCGGGCGGCCTTGCGGGCGGCCAGCGCGGCCACCCGGGCCACGTCCCCGCGTGTCACCGCCTCCAGCAGCTTCTGGTCCTGCCGCGTCCAGCTCTCCATCTGCGGGGGGACCCCAGCACAGGACCCCAAACTCTGGGTGGGAGCCGCACCCCGCACAGGAACCCCTCCCCCCGTGTGGGTCCCCCCACGCATGTCCTGCCTCAGTTTCCCCGCTCCGTGGGGCTCGGTGAGGGACGCCGGCTCCCCGCGGAGCCGGGAGGGGGCGGAGAGGTCGGAGCGTGTCCCGGCCTGTGCCCGCCCGGCTGGTTTGGCGAGTGCCACCGAGCCGGGCTGGGCTCCAGCGTGGCACCGGGCGGGGGTGGCACCGGGACAGGGACCGGGGACTGGAAACGAGACCAGGGACCGGGACCAGGGTCTGGGAACGGGACCCGGGACTGGGACTGGGAGCAGGGATGGGCTGCGGGCCCTGCAGCGGGGCTGGGGGCTGGATTCGGGTCAGGATTGGGGTTGGATCTGGGATGGAGGCTGCGAGTGGGGCTGGGATTGCAGGTGGCATCGGGACCGGCAGCAGAACTGGGACTGGGATTGGGACTGGGACTGGGACTGGGA